CCCCAAAACCCCAAAACCCCAAAACCCCAAAACCCCTTTAGTTTATTTAATTTAATAATTGTCAAAGATGTCCTCGTATTTTCATTTTTATCACACAAGGTTTACTGCTAGATGCAGATTTCTAATTCTTAATTTCTCATTTATAAATTCTGTATACTACTTTTGCTTGATGCCGTATATTTGTCAGGCTCTCATATTTTTTAGATGGAAAAGACACCAAGCATAGACAGAGTTAAAAAGGCGAAGTCTCAGGTAGGGTAATTTCTGATCTTTAGAACCGGAGGAGAAGATTCAAGCTTGATAAGAATAGGAAGTTTCATGACCAGAAATTATTTCAGAGAGATGCATATGGGAGCATCAGAGATGATAGCAATATTCTACCAGATACCAAACCGTATCTGGTAATGGAGAAGGTCTCTACAAAGAGAGAAGTAGTACAAATTACTCATTTGCATCGATCTGGACATAGGGAAAGCAACTTTGGTTCAGAAGTTACAAGTAAACATCACTCTCCAGAAAAATTGAAAGATTTTCATGGTGATTTAGTGGATCTGAGAGCTCATCCTAGCTCGAATACTACTAATACTCCTCTTATGCAGAATTATAATTTATCTGATAACCACAATAATATGAAGGAGTTGAAGTTATTCTCAAGAGTTGATAGGTAGACTTGTGGATAATTTGTAGTTACCAACCAAGTGAGACAGTTTATTTTAGCAACAAAATGCTTCAAAGGTAATAAATTAGGCATTAGTTTTAGAAATATTAAGAAATCCCCAATGCCGGCACTCAATAACCCCAATTACTCGTGCGACTACCCAAAAGGTGAGCATTACTTGTTATAATCTTTTTAGACGACTCTCGAATCAGAAACCAAGTTGGAATCTCCCCTCCTGAGTCTAAAGGAAGACCTAAACAGGCCAGTCATTCTCAGCCAAGAGTTCAAAACTCTTTCAATGATGATACTCCAAGTACAGATTTAATCAATAGACGGATGAAGAGGGCGGACTTAAGTTCATGGGGAGGAATTGATTACAAAAACAATGATAATTGAGCTCCAGAAGGTCAGTACCACACAAATTCTAAGCCAAGGCATCAACAGATTACCAAAAATTCAAAATTTAACTGTGGAAATGTTAAAATAAAACCGATTAGCAATAAAATGAAACTAATTAGCACAAATGCTGTTAACATTTTCTTGGACAAAGGTAGGTTTGTCGTTATCTTTTAGATGGAGTAATCAAGCCTCTATTTAACGCTAGTGAAGCTGCAATAGATAATAATGGAAAGTTCCACTCTCCAAAGAGTAGAGGTATTTGGAATCAATTTGAAAATGATCACTCTTTTACAAATGCTATTCAGACTCAAGCTAACTATTTCCCAAACAAAGAAGAAATGTCTCTGAAGAAGGTTTCAAAGTCTAACTCATATTCACCAAGTAAGAAGAAGCTGAATAAACTCAGAAAGAAAGTTATGCTCAAGAATAAGGATGATCAGTTCTTCTATGAAAGATCAAGTACAATGATAGCTGAGGCTCATCAACCGAAAGATTCTTCTTTCAGTGTGATCCCAACTGGGAAGAACAAGAAGACTGAAAAATTATTACTTGAACAAAAAGATAATCACAACAAGGGCATATCACCTCTCGGTCAGTTCAAGAGGAGAGCTCAGACTGGGACCAACAATTCTTCTGTACAAGGGACTCATAACTACAAATCAAAGGTTAAGAAGAGGTTGAAGTTTACAATGAAAAACAATAAAGCTATTAATTCTAAAGCTAAATCTAAGGATATCCCTTGAGACTTGAATTTTAAAGTACAAGGTATTTCTGGATTTCTTAAAACCTCAAATGAACTTTATAATGAAGGAAAAAGTCCTTCAAATGTCTTAGATGATGCTTCTAAAATTATTATTACTAAGCCTCTAAATGCTACAAGAAATGATGCGAATGGAAATATTCAGAATTTTTATCAACAGGAGGTAAGAAGTTGACTAATTATAGAAGGGAAGTAAGAACCAGATGTCCAAAAGCTGAATGCAGTATGCATCGCCTTCTTATAATAAAGAAGATTTTTATCCAAACATCAGCAGTTCTAACAATGAAATGAAGGTAAATCATGGTCTTGATAGAATAGAGTAATGCAGATACTTTAAATAACTCGAATACGTACATGGGAGAGCATTCCTATTCACCAGAGAAAAGATCACTTCTTGAGGGAAGATATTTACAACCTCCTCTTATGGAAAAAGGTTCTAGCTCCAAGACTGCTTCTGAACTACCTGATATGAGCCAGTAAGTTTAAATTATCCAATATTTTAGTACTAGGAGGATGAAAATGAATTCTCAGAATAGTAATGTGAGTGTTGCTGAGGATGGGATGGCTCTGCCATATTTCTCAGAACCCTCTAACAGAATGAAGTCTAACAATAATATGAAAAGAAGCAGATGTACCATCATCACTAAATGAGATGGACCTAAAGTTTGCAAAACTAAACAGACTAAGAGGATCTGCATGAGAAGAAGAGCTGAGATGGTAGAAAAACCAATACTAATTATCAACTTCCATGGAGTTTTAGGGTGTTTGAGGTAAATACTCATCTTAAATTTGTAGAAAAAGTAATTCTAACATTGAAGACTTGTGAAAGGCCAGGAAGTATTACCAAAAGACTCAGGAAGAAGATGTATTTATTAGGCAAGCTGCAGGAAAGAACCTCAAATCTTTAATGGGTTCTTTCCAGATCGTTCTTTTCATTAACAAATATGCTAAGAGGCACGATCCTTTGATCAATATCATTGAGAGCAAGGTTGGAGATGTCTTTGATGCAATATATACACGATGTTCCTATAAGAACGATAACAGAGTAATTGATTACAGTCAAATTTATGAGGACTTCTGAGTGAGCACAGAAGATATTGATGATAGAGTTGCTGTTCTTTGTCCGATTAATATGGAAACAGAAGAAGTCAGAGATAGAAAAAGAGAAGAATTACTCTTTATTGATGACACTCAGAATTATTGCTACAAAAATATTATCGCTGAATGTATCCCAATGAACTCTAATGCTTATAAAAATCCTCTGAGCATCTTGTTTGCATCAATAAGGAATGATGTTTTTGGGGGACAAGAAGGTAGTCAATTTAATCCTAAAGGAAATAACAATAAAATAATGACTTTTGCAAGGTTAACTAAATTTTTAAATATTATGATGAATGCATTTGAAGAAGAAGCAAGCAAATCTTCTACTAAATCTGATGGACCAGACATAGATGAATTTTCATTCATTAAAGGATTCAAAGCTCTTCAGAAACTCATCACTAAGAGCAATATTACAACTCTGAAATGAGCTTTGTTCTCTACAAATAAGATATCTAAAGCTGTGAATCGGCAAAAAGCTAAGGAGGATAGAGTTTTAAAATTCAGATCTGAGAAGAAGAAAACATATAAAACTCAGCTTCAAAGAGAAGAGATTCATAAGAAATTTATCGAATATAACTTCCATTTGGCTAAGACTAATTCTTACATAAACTTAAAGAGCCAGAACGTGCATACTAGTAGACACGTCAATCAGTATTATAACGATTTTTATTATGAGCAAATTGAACAAGAGGAGGAAGATATTGAAGAATCACAGGATATCAACCGCAATTTAGGCAATCTTTTAGGTATTTTATTGCAATAATTTATAGGGCAATTTCAGAATTTTAAGATTCCAGATTTCTCAACCATGAGTACAAGCTCAACCAGACTTTATCTGAACAGATTTGTGGCATTAGATCATGTTATGTTTTAAAATTCTATTGTTTAGAAAAATTGGGGTTTTGGGGTTTTGGGGTTTTGGGG